AGGGACCCAGGACTGAAGTCAAGCTGTTTGACTTAGAATTTGTCTCCTAATACAGCCCACCTCATCTTGTTACAATGATTTTTGATTCACTTTTTGACAGGCTAATGTAGTGCTGGACATATCCTAAGGACTCAAAAGATGTTATTTTCATCTCTGTTTTACCTAGCCAAAGGGGCATAAAGGAGTGTAATGAACAAATTGCATAAAGGAGTGTAATGAACAAATCGCTTTTAGTTGTTTGGTAGCTCGGTATGAGTCAGACACATAATGAGGTTGCCAAAAAAAGTAATCTTAGGCAACCTTCCTAACTGCTCAATACGGAGAACATGGAAGGTGCCAGTCTGGCTCTGCTCTCAGCCAGCCAACCAGACCATTCCTGGAGGTCTGGGCAGTACGCATTAAAGAGTCCGTCAAGAAACAGAACTCACCCAGTGAAGAGGATGGAGGAGCTAACTGAAAACCCATGCTAGTGAAGACAGAGTTGAAGGAAGTGAGGATGGTTAAGTGGAGGACAGCTGACACTATATGGCAGTGATGTCTAGACCCCCTGGGTCCCACTAAACCACAGTCTACAAGGAATGGGGCTCAGACTTGTGTAGGTTGCAAAAGCTGTCCGGATGATTCTCATAATACATCAACACCCATGAATCACTGCTCTAGGACAGAAGTTCTTAAACTTTAACACATCCAACAAATCTCCTGCAGGGCTAATTAAAGCAGAGTGCCAGGCCCTAGTCCTAGAGTTTCTGATTTAGTAAGTCTAGAGCAGGGCCTGATAATGTGCATTTCAGCCCGTTTCTAGGTGTTGCTGGTGCTGCTGGTCCAGGCTCCACACTGTGATAACCACTGCTCTAGACGAAGGCCCAGAATCAACTGAGCAGATGTTGGATGTACAGGAGTTTTGAAAAAATATAATGGTAACACTATAAAACTAGTTATTCACAAATAGAATGGACTGCCTGGTGAGTTGAATCTGGAACCACTGCCCTGTCACTGGAGATACTCAAGCCAGGGCATTGGGAGGGGATGACCCAGGTGATCTCTCTCTCCACTCGCAGAGCCCTGTGGCACCATGTGTCAAAAGAAAGCTGTCTCTGTTTTCAATAACATTTTCTTCTCCTCAAGCCAAAACACAAACTCAATTCCAAACTCAGTTCTAAGCTTAAAAGTAATGCCCTTAAAAACAGCATTATAATTCCAACCCAATTCCCTACCAGGTGTCCGTAAGCTGGGGGGCGGGGGGGTGTTTTTGTAAGCACCAATAGAAAAGCAACACATCCACTAAAAACCCTATCTGTGTCAGTAGATTTGCTTATAGAGGTGCACATTTCTGTTCCGGCAAAACAGAGAAAGACAAACTCAGCGTGAGAACAAAGTGTAACTGCTGAAGTTTAAAAACAAACAAACAAACAGAAGAAACAAGTGCTTTTTCCAAACCCCATAGCCTGCTTAAAATGTTTCATTCCACACTTTTGTCTAGAACATCCTGATCTGTTCACTTATCTTTTAACCAATTTATGGAAAAGAAAAAGGTGAGGTAAACGTTGATTGGACCGAAATTACACCCTTAGTTACTTGAAATACTCATTTTGTATTTCATTATAATTATGGCAATTGTGTTTCTGAAACATATAAAGAACAAGACTATGGGCTGGTCAGACTTCTACAATAGAGTACCCACTTACGTACTCAGGAAACTAGTCTAAAGCTGTATAAAAAAAGACCTTAAATATAAATAATGACCTTAATATCTTAAATAGGAAATATCCAATTTACTTATCGCTTGGCCAGCAATGACAGCTAGCTCTTTTGGAGGGTGGGTGGGCTGGGGGATGGCAAGAACACACAGTACAACTAGATGCAAAAGCCATGCATCAAAATCTGAAATTTTGAAATTTCTGAAATGGGATCTTCTAAAACTACCCTGTTCAGGTTAAAGAGGGACTTCCCACATGCAGCTCAATATACTAGCCCTGCATATCAATACTGAATTGTTTATGCTACATCCATTAAATACTTTTAAAACAGTCTTGAAGTTTTAGTACCCAAATCTAAACTCATGCTTCTATAGTCCCTCCATAATTAAAACATTTCATTCTCTCTAAAACAGAATTACCTTGAGAGGGACTTTTAGATTTTTTTTTAGATTTTTATTTATTTGACATGGGGAGAGAGGCGGGGAGAGAGAGAGCGCGCGAGCACAAGTAGGGGGAGGAGCAGAGGCAGAGGGAGAAGCAGGCTCCCCGCTGAGCCAGGAGCCCGATGTGGGGTTTGATCCAGGACCCTGAGATCATGACCTGAGTCGAAGGAAGACGCTTAACCAACTCAGCCACCCAGGTACCCTGAGGGGGACTTTCATTTTATTTATTTATTTATTTTAGATTTTATTTATTTATTTGACAGAGAGAGAGCAAGCGAGCACAAGCACGGGGAGCAGCAGGGAGAGAGAGAAGCAAGCTCCCACTGACCAGGGAGCCCGACGTGGGGCTCAATCCCAGGACCCCGGATTATGACCTGAACCGAAAGCAGATGCTTAACCGACTGAGCCACGCAGGTTCCCCTAAGAGGGACTTTTAAACATGTCTTTAAATCAATCATTTCTGTGGAATATGTTTTTGGTAATTTCCACTGTAAATGCCATTTCATCATTAAGCAAAGATTCCTGTATCTGTTCTTCCATTCAATTCTTTGAGCTCTATATTTCTTTCTCAAAGTCATCAGACTGTATGTTGGAAAAGAGTCAGCATTCCCCCATGATCAGATCCTTCCATGAACCTTGAAGTTTTATAGTCACTTACATCACCTTTAAGGTAGGCACAATGTCTGGAAGAAGCAAAATTCTTGGGCTAACATCTTGCCCTACAAGACCTTTTCTAAAAAAAGACCTTTTATGATTTCTGATCCAAACATTCATAGAGAGCTGACCAGAGAGAGGGTCTGAGTTCACTCTGGGATAGACATGGGTGTGGATCAGAATGGACACAAAACCCTTCTGTGAGTCCCTGAACCAGTGTGGCTTCTTCTGAGGTGTGGATCAGAATGGACACAAAACCCTTCTGTGAGTCCCTGAACCAGTGTGGCTTCTTCTGAGGTTTTTTGGCCAGAGGGATTAGGTCAGGCGATATTCTGGACAGCTGTGGAATGACATTCCCTTGGTCATTTTTCCCCAGAGGTACATCTCATGGTGAGGTTTCCTTAGAGCGTCATCACTAGGGAAATTCCCTGAGGTCAAGGTGTGGATTTAGTCATCCCTGGATTTCCTCAGCACCTGGTTAGAGTGCTCTAGACACAACAGACACTTGGCATGTGGTTAGCAAACAAGAGTGAAGACTGGTTTTTTTTTGAGAATGGCTAAAAGGCTAAAAATGAAAGAATGCCCTTGGTCTGCCTCTTCATGTAAGTCTAAGTCATAGCCCACTTTATTTAGCTTCTTTCTCAAGTCCCACTTCAAAGCATCCTGATCACACTCTGAACCTGGGTCTTCCTCTCTGAAATACCAACAGGATTCTGTACATAGTTTTATTTTCAGCCTGTGATGTCACAATAACCTACTGTCCTACTATTGCTATTTAAGTGTCCCTCAACTCTGTGAGCGCTCTGAGGGCAAGGGTAGGGTCTATTATTGTTTTATAGACCCATGGTGTATGTAGTACTATACCCAAAAGAGATTTTTTTTAAATAATGAAAGAGAAAAACAAAACAAAAACCCCGTCACTGCTTCTGAAAAGTAAAATAAATCTAGTTATATAAGTCAATTTCTTTTTTTTTATTTTAAGATTTTGAGAGAGAGAGAGAATGCACAAGCAAGGGGAGGGGCAGAGGGAGAAGCAGGCTACCCGTGGAGCAGGGAGCCCGACGTGGGGCTCGATCCCAGGACTCTGGGATCATGACCTGAGCCGAAGGCAGGCACTTAACTGACTGAGCCACCCAGGAACCCCTAGTTATGTAAGTCAAAAATTCATTTAATACACCTAACCTACCGAACATCGAAGCTTAGCCTAGCCAATTTAAACATACTCAGAATACTTAAGTTAGCCTACAGTTGGGCAAAATCCTCTAATGCAAAGCCTATTGTAAAATCAGGTATTGATAATCTCCTGTAATGTACTGAGTACCTGTATGAAAGTCAAAACCAGAAAGGCTGCATGGGTCCAGCCCGGTGTCACAAGAGACGGGATCAGACCACACAACTGCTGGCCCAGGAACAGATGGAAATTCAAAATCCGAATGGGCACAGTACATACTGAATGTGCACTGCTTTCATGCCATCATAAATCAGCACCGTCTGGAACCTGACCAAGGGGGATGCTCTAAGAAGGCACGCCGCAGTAACCACAGCCAGTTCCCGGACTCTTCTCTAATGCTAATCTAATCGTACACCTTCCGTTTTCAAGCAGTTAAGGCAACCTGGAGACAGAGCTAAGTAATTTGAAATGTTAAGAGGCCATGTTGGAGAAAAAGATGTGTGAGCAGAGGAAGGGGAGGTGGCTCTCTCTCTTGGGGGTGTAGGAGAAAAAATGCAGATGCTAACTGAGCTCTGCTCAGTAATGTGTAATGTACCTTTCTTCTCTGGCCCCCTAGCAAAAACCCTGGGTGAAAGCTCCATCATGGACGCTTTGTAACACTGTCTGCTTTGGGGGCATCAAAAGAAATGGTGGAGCCCGGCTTCAGAGGTGGGCAAGTACATGCTGAGGACAGAGGGTGTCCACAGAGTGACATGAGTCACAGTAGAAGTACAAAGAAAAGTGGCTGAGGGAAAAGAGACCAAGAGGGAAGAACTGATTTAAAGCAGCAGGTGAAATTCCCCCTTAAGGGTTAGGAATTGTATAAATTTGTAACTGACTCACACGAGGTACAAAGCAACACAAGTTTTCAAGATGTATTTGCATTCAGTACTCTTAAGTATATTAATTACGAATGATTAGGATTCACTCATTTGGCCTTAGAACCTGAAGGGTCTTTGGCCCCAAGTACTAATGTGTTGGCTCGCCTGCACTCACCGGTAGGTGGTTTCTGGAAGGAGGTCTTTTAGGACATGGGTGCTGGTATTGCCCACGGTGATGCTAGCGTCTCCAAGATCAATATTGTAAGCAAGGATTTCAGATCCATTATTGCACGGCTCTTCCCAGTTCAGTACAAGGCACACAAAAGGTGAATCAGGGTAGGCACTGAGGGCCTCCTCTTCCAGGACACAGAGAGTGGAGACAGGGTCAGGGGCAGATGCTGGTGTCTGGCAGAGTACAAGCTCACTATACGGTCCTGCTCCAGCTTGATTGACAGCCTAAAAAGACAAGAACAAGACAAAGTCCACATTACCCCAGTGTAAATTCTAATGCCATCATGTTAGGTGCTGTCACCTAAACGTAACACTACACAATTTCCTTCTAGAAACACGGGTAGAAATAAATCTCAGAAAACGTTCACTTTAACAACCACTTTCCCCAAAAATGCTAATGACAACTTCTCTGTTAATAAAGCAGAAGATCATATCACCATTGTCACCTTTTATGAAAAATAATTTTAAAATAACACTTTGTACTTGCACAGCCCACTTCAGGTTATATGCTGTCTTGTGACATCCTCCCAAAAACTGTCGGGGGTAGGCAGTAAATGGCAAGTATTCTTCCAGAGGTTTCCATGTGAACGATATACTCCTATCTGAAGTCAATTCTCAGCCCTTTCTGATTTTACCTGAGAGCAACAGCTGAGACCTTCATTAGTCACTCCTCTATCAAATACTTATTCACTCTGTCTCCAGGGCCATACTCTCGTTTCCACTTACCTTCCGCCGCTTCTCAATCACCTCTGCCGGAGGCTACTTATCACCTGGATCTCTCAACACTGGAGGCCACCAGGGCTCAGGTCTTGGACACCTCTTCTTCTTCTTCTTCTTTTTTTTTAAATCTCTGTTCTAACTCCTCGAGATCTCATCTTATCTTGGAGGTAAATGCCATTTATATCATATCTCAGGGATAAATGCCATATTATATCTTAATGCTATTTATAGCCTACTCCCAAATTTACTTGTGTAGCTCAGACCACTGTCTTGAATGCCAGCCCAGTACATCCAACTGCCTTCTGGACATCTCCACTTGAACGTCAAATAGGCATCTCAAACTCAAGTGTCCGCACAGCTCCCTCATCTCCACCCCATCCCTCTTCACCAAAAAAAACCCCACTGCACCTGCTGTAGTCCCTCTCATCCCTCAGGCTGTTCAAGTCATATCCCTGAGACATCACTGGACAGCTTTCTTCCTCTCATACCCCAATCCAGGCCACCAGCATATCCTGCACCAAAGCCCGGTCCAACATATTCAACTCTCATATGGCTCCTGTAATGGCCTCCTACCTGGTATGTGGGTGTCAGCCCTTGCCTGATATTCTCCATTCACAGCAAGCACTGGGATACTGCTCGTATCCCTTCCACGGCCTCCCACCATATTCAGAATAAACTTCAAAGTCCTCACAAAGCCTGCAAGACCCTATCTGATCTGCTCACCACTACCACCCTCCCAAAACCCACTGCCACTCTGACTTCATCACCTACCAGTCTCCCCCTCACTTGCTCTGCTCCAGCCACACTGGCTTCCTCGCTGTTTTCACAGGGACACCAAGTCTGCTTCTGGCTCAGGGCCTTCGCAATTTGCTGCCCTTTCTGTCCAGGAAGCTTTTTCCCTAGACATCTGCAGGCCTTCTCTCAAGGGCTGCCTTTCGGTGAGCCCTCTCCGAACACCGTATTTAAATTTGCAGTCACCCTACCCCACCCCCACCCACTGTGATCCTCCTCATTTCCTATTTCCCTTCTTTGTTTTATTTTTCATCATAGCATTTATCACCACCATAGGGTATATATTTCATTTAATTACTCCCTGATGAGAATATAAGTTCCGTAAGGGCGAAGCTGTCTGTTTCGCTCACTGCTGTATCCCCAGCAACTAGAACAGTACCTGGTACAGAAGATGAGCTCAATGAATGTCATTAAACATGTAGTTTTTTCCTTATAAAGAGAAAAACATTTAGCAGACTCCTTACAAACGTGAATGTACTCTAAAATCTAGTTCTCATTTACTTCATAGGAGAGTTTATGAGGACACATTACAAAACTAAATGAAAGTAGTCTGAGCTCTTAAAGGTTCAAAACTTGTAACTTATTTTAATGTTTATTTTTTAAAGATTTTATTTATTTGAGAGAGTGAGAGTGAGAGTGAGCGAACATAAGTGGGGGGAGGGGCAGAGGGAGAAGCAGACTCCCCACTGAGCAGGGAGCCTGGATGCAGGACTCGATCCCAGGACCCCGGGGGATCATGACCTGAGCCAAAGGCAAAGGCTCAACTGACTGAGCCACCCAGGTGTCCCTATAACACTTATGTATTACTGTTAATTTCAAAGAAGTTCAGAGCATTCATTTGCTAACAAAGCACTTTTGAAACTCTACCATAATATTTATCATATCTAGTCCTATTTCATGACAATACTTCAACTCTTTTTGGTAAAATTTTAAAACTCGAAAAGCACAGTGAAGTTCTTTCCTGTGGTGGCAGACAGTTCTTTATTTATATCCTGCCTTGTTCCCAAAACAGGAGTGCAGCACATATTTTGTAACCTTTTCCCAGTGACTCAGCACTGCTATTATAAAGATCAGACAATGAGCTGTGACCCTGACTCACTGACAAAGAGTTAGTTATGTCCCAGGTGCTCCATTCAAGAAGGAAGGATGGTATATAACAAAAGAGTTTAATCAGAATGTTTATGATGAAGCAGGCTTCAGAATTCAACAGAGAAGTCTCAGTTGATCTGGAAAATTAATTTACAAAGGGAATATTTTCTCCAAAGAGGTCAGACACACTGATACGTTGATGGACTTGTAATAAGCAATTTGATTCATCACTTAAATCAGGTGGAAACCTAAATCTGGCATCTCTGCTTCTTAATCTATTTAAGTCTAAACATGTGTGAAGACAGACTTCTCCAAGGTCAAGAACCACATCGGATTAATCTTTGTATCTCACCCCTTGATCATCCTGATCATCCTTTGATTCTGGCACAAAGTCGTGCTCAAAAAATGTTACTAAGCAAATGGAAAGAAATGGACAAAGAACCCTGTTTTCTTAGGACAATAAGGCTTTACAGAGGGGGTAAAAATAACTTATCTGAGTCCATAAAGTAAAAGTAAACTCATGACCGCTGTCACTTTGAGGGGTTAGGCTAGGAGCCAACTGTTCTTGATGTTATTCTATTTGGACTCCCGAGTCAAAGCTTACAGCTAACCAGCCTTGTTAATGGTCACTGGGAAGTGGGAGGTAGATCCTGTAATCTAATGCAGACTAGTGCAAATCACTCTAATGTTTGTATTTGGCTCCATTTAACCACCAGCATATACATCTTCTGTCTTTTGCCAGTTTTAAGCATCTCTCCCGCTGAAATGTGCATGTCGGGAGAATTCAGACAGAAGGAACCTTCCCCAAGGAGCTGTGACCCCTTTGCCTTGGACTTAGTCATTTATTCAGTGAATTCACAAGCAAGACAGCAGGGTGGTGAGAAATAGAGTTATGCGGAATTGGTTTTTCTTCTTATGTTGCAGGACCTCCTAGAGAAGCAGAAAGTAATTATAAGATACCAAAACAATTACATTTATTTGTATTTAAAAGGACTTTTTCCATATCATCCCTCTTGACAGCCTCCATCACAGGCCTTTGAGTAAGTTCCCCAGTGTCTCACGGAACACCAGTGTCTATGAGTAACATCTGAGTAGCGTCCACGTACCTGTAGTCTACAGCAATATTGTGCAGCGGGCAAAAGATCCCTGATCTCAAAGCCGGTGTCTGGCCCATGATAAATGAGTTCTAAGGATTCTTCATCTTCTCCCCATTCCAACCTGTACCCTGAGATGTCGGCACCAGAGCTCTCAGGACTCTGGAAAGCAGAAATTCGCGTGGTTAATTTCACTGAGAAGAAAATCCTATGATGTTGTGTTCAACTAACTGAACTGGGGAAAAAGAGCAACATGCCCCTGCATATTTCAAATATGAAAGAAAGACGTGAAAGAGATACTCAATTTCCTCTCAATTGTGACAAGTCAGAAAATGTCCATAACTCTGAATGATATAAGCAAGTGCCAAGGGAGATTAATGTGTAAAAATAACTTACATGTGAATTTTAGCTTTGTAGGTTCCTCACAACTTGCATTTGGGGGCAGACAAAGTAGAAGAAACAGAAGTCGATGCAGAACACTCATCTGACTTACCTCCCAACTCACTAGGACACATCCATCAGGTGTAAAAGAAATACAAGGTGCTTTGCACTGTCCAGGAGGCCCAGCAGCAGTGGTAATTTCTGAGACATCAGAATAGGGGCCATACTGAAAGAGAAGAACACACACAGGCCTGTATGCATGTTGTGCACACACATGTGTATGTGTGCATATATAAGGGCTAGGTTAACACCAGCATCAGTCCAACTGATTAAAAAATATTACCTAGTGGTTTTCACTCCCAATTGAATGTGTATAAGGTTTTTTTCCTACATACATTGCCTGAGTGGTAAATGTCTATTAATAATAAAGTATGTCATTTTATTCCAAAGGATCACAAAGTTGGTCTACCAAACATTTTTCCTTTATTGTGATATCAGAAATAAAAGCACGCTGATTTTTGACACAACAGAGCATTCTAACATTTCCCACAGGACATCAAAGAAAATGAAGTCAGATGTACACCGCAGTTTAATTTTCAACACACAAAAATCTACTTGAAATTGGTAGTTATCAAATTCTGAGTATTTCTTCTAGTTATTGGTATTTTCCGTTTTGAAAATAAATGCTCCTGTTAACATGTTCTCAGCATGACCCCACCATTTCAACTATTTGAAGGTTTATACTGCACTCCTCTTTTCTTTATACGGCCTTCGGTGATCACACTACTCAGAGCCAACCACCATTATTTCGAGAGAACCATAATCACCCAATTTAATAGGGGAATTTGTGATACCACAAATAGTTTGGGCAAAGAATACAATAATTTCCAGGCTAATGAAACATATGACTATGCTTTTCCAAAATGGGAAAAAAAAGATAAAAAAAAACCAACCACCAAAAAACCACTCAAATTTTCCAAGACAACTTGCAAATACACTGGGTGGGGGGTGGATGGGAGAGAGGCTCTTTGGGACAGACCTCAGAAGCTGACTACAGTCAGATATGTGGTTAACTTTCAATAGAACAGGAATAAACCGAGGCTGATGACAATTTTTTTAGATGATAAATTACTGAAAGGAGACAGAAAGTAAAACTCAGAGGCACAGAGCTGCACATTTATCTTTGTTATGGCGTAGATGCCCTGAACAGCAGACGGGAAAATGAGCAAAAACAACAGTACAACAGTTTCTGCAGTATCTGTGGTCATCCCCTTCCATGCTTTTTTTTAATTATAGAAGTTCAGGTGCACAAGCTTTCTTATCTTGTCATCAAAACATTTTTGTTTAGTTTTACGCTGTTTTTTTTTTTTGTTTTCCTTTTTTTTAATTTCAATAGTTGTGCTGTGTCTGAAATTCCTTCCCATTTGGGAATTAGAAGGAATCAGGCTCCTGCTAAAGGCTTGCGATCCTAGTTGAGGACAAATGTTTTCACCGTTGAGCGTGGCTAGCAGGAAATGGACTAGAGACCGACATGTTCCCCTCCGCCACGCTCTCGCAGGACTACCGAGAATGAGAAAAAGTCACCAACAACGTCGTGCTGCTGTTGGTTGTGCTTTCTTATTTTTAAAAATTCCATCAATTAATTCCATCTATTTATTTGTATGGAACTCAACTGTACAAATCATGAGTTTGCATGGGGGGTCTGTAGCAGCAGTCTGCACCAGAAAGCAGACTGTATCTGGTTACCTTGTTCTTATTGTGAATCTCCCCCCAAACCACATCACTCTGCAATTTAAAATATGGGTGTAGTACAGACATAGACTTTTATTCTCTGATAGGCCACCTCGACACCTCCCAGAGGAACAGCAGAAGGCAGGGCCAAGAAGAGCTCTCCAGTCTTCACTGGAAACAAAGCAAAAACAAGAAGCTGGCCTCCCTGCCCTCTACCCCACTCTAGTTCTGAAAACTGACGTAAGATACTGCTGGGTCATTTAGACAATATGGTAAAGGACTTCTTATGTAGTCCTAATTTCCCATAACTGATTAATACAGTCAACGAGCGAGTAACGAAATTATTTTTAAAACAACCAAGAGCATCTCAAGGGTGATGTTCTTATTAACCTTGAACTCTTTCTTAATAGAATGATATGAGGGGGCGCCTGGGTGGCTCAGTCTGTTAAGCGTCTGCCTTCGGCTCGGATCATGGTCCCAGGGTCCTGGGATTGAGCCCCACATCGGGCTCCCTGCTCAGTGGGGAGTCTGCTTCTCTCTCTTCCTCTACTCCTCCCCCTCTCCTTGCTTGTGCTCTCTCAAATAAATAAATAAAATCTTAAAAATAGAATGATACGAAGACAAGACAAAATTTCCAATGCTGGGTCAATAGGAAATCACAACAATGTATCACTTCAGAAAAGAGATTTTACATACACTACTTTAATGGTTGTCAAGGCTGGATAGGTACTGCAGAGGAATTTCAGGAGGGTGGATGCAGAAGTTAGAACCTTGTATTTTGATTATGGCGTACAAGCTTGTACTCACCCCTCCGTCATTCAGAGCCCTCACCCGGAAACGATACATGGTTCCAGGGAGTAGGTTGCCAACGGTGCACTCGAGCTCTGGCCCGTGGTACACCTCGGAAGCTACATCCTCAGGTTCTGTCATCTCCACGCTGTACTCCGAGACCTGGTCGCAGCCACTTTCTGAGGCAGGAACATCTGGGAATGGAGAATGCTTTTCATCTTAGAACATTTTTGTGCTTCCAGTTGACCACATCACACCTGGTTCCCCACCAGGTTTGCAAAACGTCACATAGTCACGTGACCGGTCCTCAGTATCTCTCTTACAGAGGAGCCCTCCTCTCCCCCACAAAAGAGAAGAGATACGGAGGAGTTTCTGAATGATATTATCTGTACTTTCCAAAGCAAGTACACTTAAGTACATTTAATTATACTAATAAAATAATTTGAAAACAATAAAACCATTAGGCAAATGTCTTTACACTCTACGGAAAGGAAGCTACAGAAGAAGAAAATCTCTTGGGACTTAAAACCAAAGGTCCCGTTAAATCAAGATAAATGACCCAGAGTTGGTACACTATTTTATTATGTTGTAGACTTAAGTGGTGGAAAAAAGCAGTCAGAGTTCTGCAGGTTTATATTTGCACTTTTACATGCTGTAAACTGCTGACACAACAGGAAATGCTCATACAGCTTGAATCAATACCACAAAGCGCCAGGGCCCGCCAGACGCAAGAATTAGACGTTACCTTACGAACCACCTCTCGCTTTCATCTCTAAATTGAGCATAACTTTGCTTTTATGAATGAAGTTGGAAAAATTCCTGAAAAAGACTGGCTGCTCTGCAAGATCTTCTAGGAAAGTGCCCCCTGAAGGACAGAGGATGCCCACCCAGCATGTGTGACACCAGAAGGCATGGGAAGAAGAGCGACAGAGCACAGGAGAACACGAACCCCAGCCAGCACACGTTCAACAGCAAATGGACATTTTCAACCAAAAACACTATGGTTTTTAGAAGACTGCCGACTTAGTAACAAAGCATTAAATCCTAGATTCAATCTCCAATTGTCCCAGTTGTCATTGTCAATGTGAAGATTTGTTTACTCACCCCACTCTAAGTGGACTTCTTTGTGCTTTGGTCGACCCAAGACCCTCGGTGGTCGACACTGACCTGGTGCAATGCTTAGTGTGCGAGCAGGGAGACTTTCAGAACACTGCAGGGGAAACATCGGTGAGAACCATCTCTTAGTTATTGTGAATTCACTAGACCTCTACATACCAGGCAAATTCTACCCTCTAACTGAACATGCTACCAAAAGGGGGTTACATGTTGAATGTGTACACATAATTTTTTTCCTCAAAAAATCTTTAGTCCAATTGAAGAAGTAAATTAATATATAAGACTTGAAAAAATTAGGAAATAACTCACGACATTATTGAAGTACAATGAGGGCAAGAATTCCCATCCCTCTCCCTTCCCTCCACTGAAGAAGAGGTACATATTTGCAAAACTGGATTTTGGGTTTTGGGTAAAGCACATAGAAAACTTAAAAAAAAAAAAAAAAAAACCCACAAAACTCAGACAAGGTGGTGGATCACCATAATGAAGAGGAGGGCAAGGGGGGGAAGATAGGAGGTGGGGGAAACTAAATTCTTGGAGGTAAGTGTCCAGGATGAGTAGGTGGTGGAGAAACAAAGGTTAGAGGAGCTCCAAGTGGAGAGTATCAACATGGGTAGGCTGGATGTGTTCTCTTACACTTCATCCCATCTTTTCCTGCGCTGTGGTTCGAATTTTGCTTTATCCTACTCTTTGACTTTGCTGAAGCCTGAGCTCAGATTTTTGACGCCATGCCCTACTTGTGTACACATAATTTTTGTGCAACAAGACCTTCTCTCGTGTGTACGCGTGCGTGTGTGTATGTGAAGTGTGACCATATACTGTATATGGCGCTGGTAAAAATGATTTCTGAAGTCGGAGTCATAGACATGGGTTGTCTATTCTAAGCACACAATTACTTTCCCTTAAACCAAAATCAGAGAGATCCATCACGAGGACAGAAAAGAACACAAAACAACAGCTGGATGAAATTTTTAAATGGTGCCATAAATGGCTAACCATCCACATACAGAGTAGAAAAGCAAATAAATTCATTATTAATCAACTGAGTCTGACATTAACCAGCAGGTTCTGTTAATGCTAAAATAAGTAGGCCTTCTTTCTGTAGGATCTGGTTGTGTAAGGCTGGTGATGTGGAAGTTGATGGTCTTTCTGAGACAGGAGAAAACACGGCGGAGGGGGGTGGGGGGTGTCGGGCATGCAGCTCAACCAAACTCATTGCTCTTCCTAAGAAGTGTTGCAGAGGAGATGGGACTCCATACATTCCAGCAGCACGGCCTCTGTACCGCGCCTCACACACAGGAGGTGCCTGGCTGACAATCAGCGGCTTTGATGTGGGTATATCCCACCCCGGGGAAGCATTCCAGAGAGCTCTGGCCCTGGAGAGCGGTCTAACTGGACCCCCTTTTCACACAGTCTCTCTCCCCCATAAACGGGTAGTCTAGACATCACAGTGCCGCTATCCTTGTGGGGGAGAAAGAAAACAAACACAACAATACTGGAGGTATGCTGACTGCAAAGCTAGGCGCCCTAACGGCAGGTGTTCTTGTGAAAAATAAACCCAGCACAGGGCCCTAAGCCACCATCTCTGTCTCTCTCTCAGGCTGGTTTCAAACCATAGTGTTAAATATCCCTACAATGAAAATGGCTTTTTACTACCTTGCCTTTCACGCACTTTCTGAATATAAGTTAAAGCCATTTACACAACTAACTGATTTCTAGGGCACTCCCTGTGTACTTATGAGGTTATTTTGAGCGTTATGAGAACACGGTGTGGTTGAAACGAAGGCTCCTGACATGTTACCTGGCTGGTCTAAGGTCAAATAAAGAGCAGACAATAAGGAATATGCTGCTGTCTACAGTTGTGTAAGTTGAGCACTGCACAACTGCAAAGGTGTTTATTTAGCTCTGTCATCATAAATTTATACAGTTTTTGTAATAATTTTCCAGCAGATGGCAGTAAAGTACCTTGGGGAAGGTGTATCTCATTCTCACAAAATTGCCAGATGTAGTAACAGCAGAGCTGTACACGAGGTCGTATCTTTTTGACTTTAAATTCTCTGCTTTTCTATCATTGCAATAACGGAGGTTCCTCTCAGTTAGTTAATATGAATGTCAGACTACATTCAATTTTCAGCTGTCACATGTGATCATGCCGAAGTCTTCTAAGAAATAACTAAGGGACAATTGTACCCGACAATACCACGATTCAGCTGAGAATCATCGGGGCCTATCTTTTTTGTTCTCTAAAGCACAATTTAAAACTCGAGTTTTCATTTCCTGATGTGATACCGTGGCGGGTCGCATTACCACAGTTCATTTTAAAAGGGTAATTTTGTTCTGACGGTACGGATCGGTTGTCTGAACTTGACCTGGGAAATTTACTTCTATACCAAAACAAAACCAACCTGACTGTGTCCACCAGTACTGATGCAGCATGCCCGGAGTTTGTACAAAGTGCCTGGTTTCAAGTGGGTGAAAGTGTATTCCGTAGCCGATCCACTGTACGCCACTTCCCACTGACTCGCTGTAAGACAAGACTCAGGTATGAGTTCATGCCTTCTGTAAAAATGTCACAGTATCAACCACTAGGCTGACAAAAAGCTCCAAGTGGTTACCACGAGAACCAGCATCTCCTAGTCGTCGTCTTTTTTTTTTAAATAGCCAAGGGCCCTCTTTCCATTTCCTTCACAAAGCTAAATATTTAAAATCCGACGGAGTCATTTTTAATACTTAGTACTGCAGGCTAGACTACTTAATACCACCATTATTACATTTGCTGACTATGAGGTTTGGATGCTGGAAACAACACAAAATCTGTAGTGGGCACGGGGAAGGGGTGGGCACCAAGCGGCAACAGAGGGCAATGTCAAGCAAGCTGTGAACCGGTCGTGGCAGGGGAGGAGGCCTCGGGGGCCAGCCGGGTATGGGGAAGACTGCTGGGCAGTCTGGGACACGCCGAAGAGTCTCTCCTGCTCTCATCTGCTGGGAGGTCACGGTAAGTGAAATCCTCCTGTTACAGATGGTGTCCTTTGGGGGCAAAACCTGCTGTCTTCATGGACCTCATTTAAAAGACAGACATGGCTGCGAGGGTGACAAATTAAAGATGAAGCACTCAGTGTGACCTACTTATCTGACCACTTCTGGGGGTTAAAGAAAGCAAGTGGGGCCGCCCGAGGGATCTGGTGCCTGGTGAGGGCATGTGCCCTCACAAATCCCAGTGGCTGGATGTTCTCCCTCCTCTCTGTCACTCTCCCCAGTGGCTCTGCTGCCAGGTGACTATTTCACAGAAGGCTTTTCTCCATGAGGTTGTTTTAGGGAAAATAGTTTTACCCTATCCCATGATATTTTACTCAAGTAACCTTCAAGTAACCTTCCCCCAGCTCCTTGGTAGGATGGATTTCCCATGAAGTCACAGCACCAGGGCCAAGGGTGGGGGTATTAGAAAGCATTATTCTCACACTGCTGGTTAAAAACCCATGAAGGGGCAAATGGGAATGGGAACGACAGAAAAGGTTCAATTAAGCACCCACTTTATGTGCTGGCAGAACTGTTCACTTTAAGTAGAGAATGGCATCTACTTTTGATTTGGTATCAGTGGTCAAGAGAGCCACAGAAATTCAAAACATACTTAGGTTTTCACAAGGAGCCACCGCATACACCTGACTTCTCTCCTAGGGAGGTTTTCTAATGTAAAAAACTAAATCAAATTTTTAGGCCAGAATATAATTTTATGTCCATCAGCACAGCTGTGCCCATCTCAAAACATTCTCATGTTTTTAGTTTAAAAGAGAAGCTGACTGACATGAAAACCAAAGTACTCCAGGTGGCTACTGAGGTACAGAATAAAAGACAAGCACACACCTGCGCTGCCTGTCTGTAGAAGTCACTGTTAACGCTCTTTCTTTTCTTTTTTTCTTTGCCATATGCCTTAAATCACTTTTTTTTTTTAAAAATGAGTGGTTAAAGGGATTATCAGAGTGGTAAGATATGTCATTTTTAAAGTTCTGATGACTATACTTTTTTCTACTAAAGCCTTATGAATTTTATTAGAAAAAAAGATCTAAGAATTTTTTAAAAGGCACTATTTAAGGAATTCGGTCTCTAACATTGTACTACTCTAATCCACATAGTGTGACAGGTGATGAATAATCTGACTCAGATGTCACAAAGACGGAAAGACATTTGCTAAACTTGACGTAAAAGTGTGATACCGTCACTAACTCACGATACTATGTTTTGTTTGCTATCACTGTACATGGGAATTTGTAGATTATCGCACTCATTTGCTGTCTCCACCTTATCCTTCCTGCTGATTGCTTCTGACAGTCTTCTGCTTGTAAGAATTTCCAGAAAAAAGGTGCCAAGAAAGGGGACGAAAATGTAATTATTCTATTAATTAGGACCACTGGTTTAAAGCAATGATGTGGAAAATTTAAAAACATGATAAAAATGTACCTTTTAAGCATACTCTGATCCCTGATGCTGCGTGTAAAAGAGAAAACTATAAATGTGTGATTAAGGTTTATCTGTTGTAATAGCACTATCATGAGAATTAATGGCTGCTCACTATGCCCCACTATGGCTACACAGATGTTTATCATATTAGATAATAGGGGTTGCTCCTGGATTTGAGTAAAATGATTTCCCAAAACATCACCTTCAGAATTTCCATCAGTAATCTCCAGCAAGTACTTGAGTATTTCTGAACCACCACTGTCCTTTGGAGGATCTGGAAAGTAAGCAAATGCCTTATTAGTTATGAAAGGGCATCGATTTTTATCGGCAAGTATCATTAGAACACAGAAAGTCATGTAACATCATAACTGCCTTAATTCTGGATTTAAGTAAAAAGTAAAATCATTACTGTATTATTCTTGAAAAGCAAAAGAAACAAAAACATCAATAAACCCAGAATGTGCTCAGATTATTCAAAGTTCTAGAGCTAGAAATTTCAAAGTGTTATTTAGTGAAACATGAGCAAAATTCAAAATATGAATGGATTTTTCTAAGAGTTAAGTTAAAATAAATCTACTTTGAGAATTCTGAAGCCTATTCTTCAATATTTAGTAATTTTTATATAAGATAAAATACATATTTCTTTTATTATTATTTTATTCTGTACTTCACTTAGGTTACCAGTGACCAGATTCTTTTGAGATGGAGAGGGAAGGAAAGAAAAGTGCAAAATTTACTGACAAGATAAATAAAACATCAGAATGTAATAATCTGTTCCATCGTAGTTTGCCACTAAGCATACTGTATATCCCAAGTGAACCTGATATGCAGTCAAGTTGTGGATCACTAAGAACGTGCACCAAAGAGGTGGTTTGAGGAAGGGGTGTGGACTTTGGGTATTTACTCCACTGCTAACTCTGTGCCTGCAAGAGTTTTCTTTTCTGAGCAGAAAAATACCTTGCATTGTAATTTTGCAAGACTATGCAGAATTTACCTCTACTGTCAGTCTGCCACTTCTGTATTTTGGATATAGATTTAGGAACTTTTCTTCCCTTCTTTCACTTGGTATTTCCATTAATGTATACACATTTCAGTAAGAAGATATTTAAAACAATAGTAATGAAGTTAGATATTATAGCATATAGCTAATAAAAATAAACATTTAGTATTTACGGGATTTTCTAGGATTTTCTGAGAAAAAAGCTTTACAATCTGCAAAAAGCACACCTAGATTTTTAGTTTCTCTTAATCATATCCATCTACCAAGGAAACAGATATCCTAATAATTCTGCCTCAAAATTATTAGGTAACTTGATAGTTTTATGTCTTGATGGTTGATCCTCCAATAACAGTTTAATAATAATTTATTTTTTTTTTAAATATTTAAGTAATCGCTCCACCTCACCTGGGGCTCGAACTCATGACCCCAAGATCAGGAGTCGTATGCTCTTCCCACTGAGCCAGTGGGAACAGCCCCAAAGGTTTAATATTTTAAGTTCCCTTTACATTACCTGGCTGCCAGGTAAAATCTTATTTTAAATTTCTCCTTTTATTTTTTGCCTTTCAGGTAGCTATTATGACACATTAGTGATAATTATATACATCATAATAGTTTTACATATAATTGCAAATGTTTATCAACATTCTAATGGCATTCTTTTCTTTTAAGTTTTATTTATTTGAGAGAAAGAGAGAGCGGGCGCCCAAGTGTACATGGGGGAGGGGTAGAGGGAGGGGGAGAGAGAAACTCAAGCGGACTCTGTGCTGAGCACAGGGCCCAATGCCGGGCTCAATCTCACGACCCTGAGATTACGACCTGAGCCGAAACCAAGAGTGGGAGGCTTAACCAACAACTGTGCTACCCAGGTGCCCCTCTAATGGCCTTCATTTCTTTGAAATAATCCATGCTGCAGAGGTGAGCCACAATATCCTTCCACTCCATACCTCCCAAACACCACATAATAACTTCAATATGGAAAATTACTGAACTTCAAGACTTCTGGTTACATACAACAACAAAAACTAAAGTTTTCCTAGTTCTTCTTTTTTTTTTTTTTTTAAAGATTTTATTTATTTATTTGAGACAGAGAGAATGAGAGAGACAGAGAGCACATGAGAGGGGGGAGGGTCAGAGGGAGGAGCAGACTCCCTGCAGAGCAGGGAGCCCGATGCGGGACTCGATCCCGGGACTCCAGGATCATGACCTGAGCCGAAGGCAGTCGCTTAACCAACTGAGCCACCCAGGCGCCCCTTCCTAGTTCTTCTTAACTTGAACATTCTGTACGTCAAAATTTACTTACGATGACATACCTAAAGTCTGAAATTTATTTTCAGCATTAATTTTATAAATCAATTTTTTACCTTAAATATCACTACCATTTGGTAAGGGCAAGCTACTGAAGAATGAATATATATTCAGAGATTACTACATTCAAATCAATAATATATTAAAAAGTATAGGAGGAAAAATACAGGACAAATCATGAAGTAAAATGCTCTTAAAATTGTCCATTTTACCAGTTGGTGGAATTCTCTGAATGTTTCTCATTCATATATTCCAAATCTGTAAAACTCCCACAAATAATACCTTTTATTTCTTATTTTGGTTTGTCACTACTGAAGTTAATCAGTTTTTAAAAATCTGTCAAAAATAAGCAACAGCACCAGTAGCAAAACATACCCCATTTGACACTAAAGCCGTGAGATGTAACTGGTCCTTTAATGAGGGGTCTTGTGGGAGGCCCAGGCCGGTCAGGGCTTGTCGTACACACCAGAACTTCACTTGGACAACTCTTCCCTTCCACATTAGAAGCAGTCAGCTATAATACAACCGAAAAAATATTAACACGCTTTAGGTACAGGTATTAAAGAAATGGGAACATTTGGAAAAAAAAAAAGATTTTATTGATTTGAAAGAGCACGCAAGAGAGAACGTAGAGGGAGAGGGACAGCCGACTCCTGCTGAGCAGGGAGCCCAGTGAGGGACTGATCCCAGGACCCTGAGATCATGACCTGAGCCGAAGGCAGACACTTAACTGGCTGAGTCCCCCAGGAGCCTCGAAATGGGAACTTTTGAACATGGCAAGATCAAGGCGTCTGTAAACTCACACAGACAGACACACACATACATTTTCTCTCTCTCAATCTCAAACAACTGATTTACAAGTGTTTCCTTCATGAGGTACTTATTTTCCATATAGTTAGCTATGAACAATTAAAAATAAAACAATATAGGTGGGTTTTAGTGAAAGACATTTTTACCCTTTCAAGAAGGCATAAAACAAAACCAGTATGTTACCTCCTGGTTCTTACTGTTTTGCAGAAGGAAAATATGGGGAGGGGAAAACAGGTAAAAAATACCCTTATTTATTTAAGGGGAGGGCAATGCCACCTTGTGGAGAAATGCTAGCACCATCCCTATGTTCTCAGAGCCGGCTCCAAACAGCAAGCATTTGTGAAAAATTAGAAACTATCACTTTCCTCCAACAGTCACACTCTTCACTTGATAATCTGACAGCTATTTACTGAATGACCACTAAGCGTGTCAAACACCATCTGTCCCCCAAATAAGAGAAGGAAGGGAAGACTCAGAAGACGAGCTTCTCTCGTCCTAGCAGAGCGCACAGCACTGTGCACACATCAACAGCCCACCGCCTGGCTTTTCCTCTTTAACGGCTGCGAAGCTCCGTTTTTCCTTACAGAGCAGAGTCCTATGGTGACATGAAGGGTGGTGGGTTGTGACCGAAGCAATGCCTAAGTAGTGAGGGAGTGGGTAATGGAAGAGAAAAATAAAAACAGCTGAGGAAAAAAACGGGCAGAAGAGCAAAGGCAGAGGCAGAGTGAAAGGGAAATCGAATTGGAAGCAGAAACACGGAAGGGCAAGGTGTGAAGCGCGGGGCAAGACAGGTGCACTGAGCATTCGGTTTGGGTGCTCCTGGCTGAGGGCTCCCGGCCACGCCGTAATGCGAGTTGTTCCAGCACAGGACAACAGTTTCCTCTCTCAAAACCGGGTTTTAAAATTAAAGTATGGTGTGCCTTTTAAGAAGTGTTACTTTAAAAATGTAAAGTGCGGTGAACCTTAAAAATCTTTTAACCTATGGAGTCCATTTGAAATGGTAAATGGGTAAAGCATGAAACGGCTGCTTTTTTAAGCAGTTCAGGTACCGAAATGACTGACTCACCCTGAATTTATACTGTGTGCTTCTTTTGAGATTTTTCACAGTACAGGTTAAGTCCTCTCCAGTGTATTTTGGGTGGAAAAGGTTATCCTGCAAAGGCAAAGCCAGAAAGAAACATCAGTATCATAAAATCTGGGCATTATTAAATACCTTTGTGTTTAGGATTTTTCTATTGCCTCTTTCTATCACCACCAGTGGCCAGAGGTCTGGCAGGGATGACAAAAAAGAGTATCAGAGTCCACGGTGTTGCGGATGGTGCTCTAGCTCTAAGTAATAATTTAACTTTATCACATTGTAGTTTCTCCTGGGTCTGCTGAACTTTATTGTGAGGCTAATACTAATGTGAATGAGAACAATGCTCTCCCCTTGAGAGAATGCAAACCTGCTCTGAAATAGACACCACCATATGCTTTCCTCACAGAGCAAACTTCTCCTGGGGACTCAATAAGCATTTTACACAAAGGATTGAACCACCAAGTAGTGCTATGTGACAAAGTGGTATGTACTGTAAAAGAATGTATTTAACGTTTTTCTGAGAAAAGCCTCTTCTTTTGAGGTCTTCACTGTGTAGCGGCAATGTGCTAGGTAATGAACTGTGGCTGAGGTTTCTGACCACACAGTGTCCTCTTCTGGCCAAGGAAGAAAGGACAGTCTGGATGGGAAAGGCAAGATCCTTTAAGAGGATTAAGTATCCCCCTAAAAGCTGAATGTACAGAATTCATTAGTATTTTCAATCACGCATCGCTCCATCCATCCATCCATCCATCCATCCATCCATCCATCAACGATTACACGAGCACCTTCTAGGCCTCAGGCTTCCTTCCGCGTTCTATGGGCTCAGCATGGCCCAAGAACAGACAAAGCCTTGCCCACCAGAAATTTCCATGCCAGGTGGAGACAGTGATTAAAAAAATAAAACCTATATATAGATATGAAGCATGTCGTGTGGTGTTAAGGGCAACGACAAAGAAAATCATGCGGGGTGAAAGGACAAAGCGGTGGATCTAGTGAGGTGTTCCTCTAGGGCTGTGCCGGTTAAATAAGGCAGCCACGTGGGGCCCTTTAAATTTAAACTAAATGCAATTAAAAATTGAGTTCCTTGCCCACAGCCATATTTCAAGTGCTCAGTCGTCACGTGTGACTTGGTGCTACCTTCGCTGGCTAGCACGAACTACAGATCATTTCTGTGGAAATGTTCTGTGGTGGAAAGTTCTACCGGATGGTGCTGTTTTACACGGTGGTCAGGGAAGGGCTCTCTACAAATCATGTGTGAGAAGGGACCTGACGGAAACGGGGGAAACGAGTCAGAGGTGAGTGGAAGGGCCTTCGAGCTATCGGGCACAGAAACTGCAAAGGGCCTGAGGCTAGGGTACATGCTTGTGTGTTCTATGTGACTACAGACGCAGAAACAAGGACATGAAAGAAAAATCCAATAGCACAGGACCTGGTAGGCATTGAAAGGGCTCCAGCTTTTATTCTAGAAGAAAGGAGAAGGCCCAGAGGTAGGAAGGGTTCTAAGCAGAGCACTGACATGATCTACTTTACTTAACAGATCACCTAGGCTTCCTGTGGAGAACAGACTATAGTATAAGAAGGGTGAAGGGAGGGAAAATACTTAACGAGACTACTGCAAAACTCCAGGGATGGCATAATGGTGGCTTGTGAAAGGGTAGTAGCCTTAGCTTTTGAGAAATGGTTAGATTTCTGGTTAATTTTTGAAGATAGATTTAAAAGGATTTGCTGACTGATGGGGTCAAGGACAACTCCAGATTTTCTGGCTTCCCCAAACAGAAGGACAGGAATGCCACTCCCTGAGATGGGGAAGACTGTGGGAAGGAGAGCCGGTGGTGGTAATGGTAGAAATTAAGGGCCTGGTTTTGAACTTAAGTAGCTAATGTAATTTATGGTGTTCTGTCCGTTATGACGATACTGACTTATACACAACATATGCAAGGGTATAAAATCTGCAGAGCTTACATTTTCATCCTCCTGGATTTCCAAGGTGTAGGTGACCACTTCCTCAGGTGAACAGCCTTCGGGTTTATTCCACTGCAACGTGACCCATGTGACTCCAGCTCGAACAAGTCTTGGTGCAGAGGGCATCTGAGGAATGTTTCCTAATGTGTAACATACCACCTCTTGGCTATAACCACTACAGAGAGATAAACCCAGTAAGACACACATTTAGGAACATGGGGGGAATCTTGGCATTTTAAAAGAGGAAGGATAAGCCTACCTACTGCCCGACTTGCTCGGGTTGGAAAGTCTGGGGCATGACAGATTCGGCCAATAAAGGAAGGCAAGCATCCTTTATGTGATATTCCCTACCCCAGTTTTCCATTTGCCTGACTGCCTGCTTCAGGCTGCGACTAAGAAAGCACAGCACATTGCAGGACAACAGAGTTAAGGATTTATTTCCCCCTGAAAGCACCCAGCAGAAAGCACAACACTGTGCAATGTCACTAAGCTATGACCCACGGCTACCAAGGAAACTTCAAATCAATGCGAGCACAAATAATCGTCTGCTGATGAAATACACTGTTTTACAAATATATACGGTGCTATTTTTCAGAAGTCTGTAGGTGCTTCCAATTCACTGACAAACTCTTGAAGCCTTTATCATCATGACTTTTTCTACCGGCAGACTCGAAATGTGCACCGCTATCACGGATGGGGAGAGGGGGCTGTGAAACTTTGTGATGTTCTCGAGGCTGGAAAAAAGCTTGCGGACCAATGATGTGCTGAACCTTTAAGATTTTTCAATAAGCAGTGATGAAAGAGAAAGGATTTTTCCCTTAATCAAGAGTTACCCAGGAAGTACAAATGAAATACGGTCTTTTCAAAGCATCTTTAATCCCCGGACACCTGTTCCGGCCTTTCTTCTGCAGCTCAGAGGCAAGCGGCGGTGCCCTGGCCAGGGTGGGTTTTCACCAATCCTGTGAGGGTCTGCCCAGGGCTTGACAAGAATGCCCCTCCCAGCACCCCTTCCTCTCTATCAGGCAACCTCAAATATAACTGAAAAAGGCAACTGCATGAGTAGTGACGAAAGGAAAAGGCACATGTTCTGAGAAAAAATAAAGCCTCAAGAGGGATTTCCTTCAGAATCTGGACTGCTACCTTCATCTGGGCTTCCAGAGACCCCTCGTGGGCCCTGCCTCACAGCTTGTGAGCCTGCACCGAGGCCGCCCAGCAGCAGTCATCGCCTCGGGAGGCGCCTTCTACCCTCTGATTAGGATTCCCTCTGGGAAAATCTCTAATTGGTTCAGTGTGGAGGCAGGGGATGTCTTCACGCCTTCCAGCCACCACATGAGAGGAAGACACAGAATCACCGTGTGAGTGTTTAACGGCAGGAGGGCGAGGGAACGTCATACCTGGTGCCGATATCATTCCGAGCAGCCAACCTGAACGTGTACCCCATCGCTGGACAAAGCTTTGTCAACTTGCAGTGCTTCTGACTCCCAAAGAAGCACTGTCTGAAACCACTGTTTCTTTTCCCCTAAAAAAGAGTGAACAATCACACAATTTTTTAAAAAGTAAGTAAGAAACTGAGAAGGCATTTTGAATAATGGTTTCATTTCCTGGGTTTGGATGAACAGAACCAAGAGAAGGAAAGCTTCTAGGGGAGTGTTTGTTTGCACATGAAGCACTTGACAATGCAACGTCATCCTTAACATAAGGGCTCTGTGGGCGCCTGGGTGGCTTAGTTCATTAAGCGTCTGCCTTCAGCTCAGGTCATGATCCCGGGGTCCTGGGATCGAGCCTTGCGTCGGGCTCCCTGGTCAAAAAAGGCAGTCTGCTTCTCCCTCTGCCCTCCTCCCACTCATTCTCTCAATCTCTCTTTCTCTCAAGTAAATAAAATCTTTAAAAAAGAAAAAAAAAGAAAAAGAAAAATCTGTAACTGAGACAAATCATGCATCGTGCTTGTGGTATTTCTAAAGTGGCTCTGGTTAACAACAACAACAACATCATCAACAAAAAAGTCCTTTCAGTATAAGACAATGCACATTTTCTAAGATCTTCCTCACTTGGATTGGTCAAACTGCCCAGTCTGACCAACCAAGAGTAAGTGTGCAGCCTTATTTTAGGGATTGCCAGTTGTGGAAACGCACAGTACTTCCCGAACACCTGAGGATCAGTCTAACGAGTTTAGTATGCCAGAGAAAGAAAGCCCTCCCCAGTCTTCTCTCTCCTTTCCCACTTGGCCCCCCAGTCCCTGAACATGTACATTCCTGCAGTGGTGAGCTACTTGTTCACTGATCCCTAAATTCTCGTCACATGCCTTTGACTCACCTGGCCCATATCCGCTTCCCTCCTAACAGTGCCTTGGACAGTCAGGGAACTCAATCACTGCTTACAGAGTCGAATGTCCGATTCAGCATGAGGCTGAATTCACCTCTATGTATTATCACCTCTCTTTACAGTTCTTATCAGGCTGGAAATACATTTTTAATGCCTTTCTAGCCTGACATGATGCTTCAAATTCTTTGAAGTAAAAAGAAAACACTCTGGTAGGTTGTCTTAACAGACCCATGAGTAAGAAAAAAACCTCACCTGCCCTGTGCCATGCTCAGGCATGGAATCCTCATATCAGTAGTAAGGCAGAACAAATATTTCATACCCACCATCCAATGGTGTTTTATCGATGTTCACACAAAGAAAACCACATGCTAACACTGAATGAATCTTAGCATTCTAATCAGACAGGTTGGGCCCAGGGCCTTCAGAAATATGTTTGAAGTTCTCAATTTATTTTATAAAGAAAGATGAAAGCACATTTTTCTCCTAAGCAAATTTAAGCATTTCCTTCCTTTAAGCAGGCCTCCAAAATGCTTACCACTAAAACACATCCCAGGTGAAGTTTAATTAAAAATAAAATAAACACACAACTAGCTTGAAGTCCCACTAGAGCGAACAGATTAAAAACAACCCTGGCACATTCATCCTCAGACTAAATCCATGCCTTCCCCTCCCCACCCTGAGCAAGGTGGTGCCCTTTCCAGGAAGGGAGTGGAAGTCCTATTAATCTTTAAGATTCAAAGTTCATATTATCAAAGTTTCAAAGTACATTCATATGCAAACGGGAAAGCATAACATTTTTCAGCTGCTACTTGGGCAACATCACTGAGTGGCTGGCATATCATGCCCTTATGCTTACTTTAACCTTGAGTGTTAAGGTTGCTGCAGACGATTTATTCATAGAAAAACTGTTTATACATACATTTGCATAATTACATCCAGTGTCTGATTATACTCTATGCACGCCCTGGTATGTTTTGTATCCATTTCAAGCTGTCGCGTGATCTACCTTCTTTCCTCTTCTATTTCTGAGCTCAGAGTAAACAGAGCAAGAAAGGCACATCCTGCCACCACGGAAGCCTCATTCCTTCCAAACCCGATGCTGGCTCCCCTTCAATGCCTCATTTTTCCTATTTCTTTGTTTGGTCTCCTTTGCCCATTTCTGGTGCTTAGAACTATAGCCAGTAAATAAAAGTCAGTCTGTTTCTTACTAGGTTGATTTGTTTTAATATGGTAAAAACCGGACTATGGCTGAAACGAGAAAAAAGAATGGGGAAGATCGATGATGGGGCCTAGACTTTTCTTTTACAGGGCCACAGCACAGGGACTTGCCGAAGAATTGGGGCAGAGGCATTCTGTGACCTTCAAGACATTTTTCCTATGTTGCTAACATTTTCCCCCCTCCTACTTTAGTATCAGGAACAATTACTAAATAAACTCCAACTTGTTACATAAAGCACGCCAAATTTTCCATCTTGGAAAATTTGTACCTTCCAAGATGAACTACTCTGTGCATGGCCCTTAATAACATGCAGAAAGACCCAGAGTTGCTGGAACCTTAGAACCGAGTTTTAGAAGCAGTATTTGTGGAGTCTGAAGGGTAAGAGTACACATAGTTCACAGAGTGAAGGAAGTAAGGAAATACTCGCGTACGACATGGAGCTTAATATAAAAGGGATACCTGAGAAGAAAAAAACAACAACAGGAATATTGACAAAAGTCCTTGCAGTGCAAAAGTGAACTATAGCTGGGAGGTTAGCAAACGAAGACGGGGAACAGCATGGGGGATGGTGTCACCCTGGTCTTCCGGGACAGACTGTGCCAGGTGCTCGCAGAGCTCTGGGCTTGGGCTCTGGGGCAAGGGCATGTTCAAAGGTACAGCTGATGTGGAGAATTAGTCTGTACACCAAGGAGGAGGCCAGGTTGCAAACAGCATTTGCAAATAAGATATTAGCCGGTTTTTCTTGTTGACAGAAATGAGTAGGGTTTTAAAAAAAAAAAAAGAAAGAATGCTTTAGAAGACTGAAGGATTCAGATGAACCGATGGGGGTGGTCATGGGAGTGCTTATCATTGTTTATCAGAAATTAAAGATGCCTGAGCATTACTGTCAGTGAAGTTTTACAGATGGCAAATCGTAACTTCCATATGTTATCGGTAGCATGGCTCCAAATGACTGAGAGATTATGATCTCTGGCGGGTACCCCCTTCTAATAAAACCTAATCTAAACTACACAGGATTACTAAGATATACTAGCTTTCCTTGGAAGCTTACTTTTTCGTCAATTAAGGTCAGCCTTGTGCAAAGTTTCCTACTAAAACATGGTCCTAAGAGAAATGAGTATCTCTTGACGCTTTTTAGGTCTGCTGCCAATAATCTAGCCAAACACAGGCAGCAGGGACACCAGTGGCCCTGGCCTGGTCCTGGTCAGCGACTACTATGAGGCCATGTGTGGTGTGTCACACAGAGGAGAGTAAGAGTAGGGCTCCAACAGCCGAGCTGTTGGCTGGTCTATAAGGGAAGGGCTGGCGCCCGATTCTTTGTACATGGGGAGATCAAGTACGCAGCATGAGAACAATTAGGATCAGAACCTCCCTAAGATGAACAAGGAAGTCCTGTTCCCCTGCGGAAGGAAAGAAAACTTCACCCCAATTAGACAAAGAGCAGAAAGGAGGCGTCAAGTCCACACCCTTCATCATTCTGGAACAGATCTAGGCAGTGGGCTGCATTTGACACGAAGTGATCCAACCCCCAGCCGTGTTCTGGCCAAACCTCCGACCACCAGTGTCCACAAGGCCAAAAGGGGCAGAATTTCAGGGCTCCCTGGCTGGTTTCCACTTCAGAATCCTGGGCATGCCCAAATGCTTGCTTCTACAGTACAACTGAGTTCAAGGACAAGATTAATCTTTACTAAATGTGAAGAAATCTTGGGAGTACAAACTCACTGTGTGCTGATTAACTTCAAGGCACTCAATTTCGCATGGGGCGCAGCATCACAAACCTGGGTTCAGTGTTCCTCTTCTCACTCGACTAGATCCACAGGTCTTGTTAATCTATCATTATCCTAGACGCAGCCCCAGCCCGAGAGCACCAATTCAGCACCCATGGCCCTGACACAAACGGAGCTGTTTTCTGGCCGGGGCGCAGGATGCTTGTCCCCCACTCCTGGTCGCCACTGCTCTCCAGGAAAGCCAGCGAGGTGGTGCCTATACAAGGCCCATATCACATCAGCCCTTGCCCAGGTCCCCGCTGCTCAGTTTTGCCTCTACCTCCTCTTTATTACCATGAAACGGAAGCACATTGCATATTATCTATATTCTAGACCCCAGAGGATCAGCTTCCTCTCCATACCCTCTGCCAGCCATACCCTCTGCCTCCCTCCAGGTGAGCAAGCGCCTCTTTTCAGTTTAGACTCACATACCAAAGAGAGGTCCCATCTCTGGGGAGAGTCCCAGCCTTGTAACACTTAAAATCCTTCCAAAGCTCACTTTTTAAAAAGGTCACACAGTTGGTCACAAGTCCTAACAATAATCAGAGTCCAGATGTTCTTCTAGGTCCTACAAGGTTCCTGCTAACTTGTGAAGAATGTCAACACTCAGTAACCTCCACCGTTCTGCCGGACCGTGGAAGGGCAGGGACAAGAGAAGGAAACACAAGGGAGCAGGTAAAACGTGGACTCCCACGAGGCTCAAGAGCAGAGGCTGACTCACCCTTGGAAAGGTTTTTCTCAAGATGTGTTAATAACCTCAGGGACAAAGATGTCCTCCCCCAACCACTGGGAGGCGTGGGGGAAAGGAAATGTCATCAAACATTTCATTCTTTAAAATAAAATTTGGAGATAAATTACAAATGTAAAAGGCTTTCAATATTTTAAGGAACATAGTCTCTATTTTCCCATTTTATCTTCTGCCCTTTTACTATGTACTTAAATATTTTTCCATTTCTTTCTAATCCATAGTTCAAAAAATTTTTAAATTTTATAGCTATTAAATCAAATTATAACATATTTCTTCAGTATTTTCTCCCCACCCCCTGATTAAACATTTTGCTGACTGCCTGTGAGTTACCCAAGGGAAGAGGACACATGCTCCTGCTTTAAAGTATGACACCTGTGGCGGAAATATTGTTCATCTCCTGGGTTCTCTCTCCTTATCACTAAGGGAACAGACAGTGATCTCTTCCAACTGCTAACTGAGAAGAG